TAGATAGATAGATAGATAGGTAGGTAGGTAGGTAGGTAGGCAGAGGTAGGTAGGTAGGTAGGTAGGTAGGTAGGTAGGTAGGTAGGTAGGTAGGTAGGTAGGTAGGTAGGTAGGTAGGTAGACTGACTGGATCTAAATTTATTGTAGATTCTCTCTGATTCACACAGGATATCTGCTCTTTTATTTATTTACTTATTTTGCAAGCTGTATTCTGCTGACTTGACAGTTTAATGCAAACAAACAAAAATAGGTGTACCTGATTGGAGACTGATAGAGTTCAGTTTACTTTGCAGCATCTGGTTGGTGGCATTCAGCAGGTTCAATTCAGCCTTCAGCTTCTCCAGTTGTCCTTCCTTACCACACAGGCTTGTCACCTGTTGCCAAGGCAATTAGAGGAAAAGAAGATGAAACTACTGAAATCACATTTTCTGCAAAAATGTAGTGTGAATGGAACTGCCAGCCTCTATCTTTCTACAAATTGTAAATCGCCTGAAGTTGTATAGCACTTTATCAAGTCTGAGTACTCAAAAGAACTTCACACTACAATRATTCACCCATTTATACACACTTTCACARACTGATGGTGGTAAACTACAGAGGCAAGGCTGCTATGCATTGGTGCCACTCTGACCACCATTAGCAGGCCAGGTGGGTGAAGTGTCTTGCCCAAGGACACAGCGACTTAGATTGACAGACTGGGGGTTCGAATCAGCAACCCATTGGTTACAGAACAACTCCCCAAACCACTCTGCCACAGCCATTTCTTGGAAAGAAAAACACTGAAACTGGCAGGGAAAAAATGAATAATGACTTCCTCTATTCAGACAGATAAATTTAAAAAATGGAACAGAACCTGGCTCTGCAGAGTCCATAAGTGAGTTCTCACTGTCTTGGTTTCCAAGCTGTTGTTCTGGAGAAGAATCTGGAGATCATCGTCACCCAGAGAAATGTGATTGAATTGCAACTTCTGAGATGTGGGGTCACGGTGAGAAGAGTCCAAGACAAAAACTGATCCGTACCCCCAGAAAAAAGAAAACCACAACCACAGTGAATGTTTTATTATTATCATTTTCATAAAACCACAAGTTTAATTTTCCCATATTTTTGATTATATTGTACCTTTATAAATAAAAAAGGCATCAAATGCTGTCTGTAAGACAATATACACTATGAAAAGGTAAGTGCACCAGTTTCTCCTGGGTTTTTCTGGTTTCAGATCTGAAACACACACAACAACAAAGAACAAAGAAAAGTTTAGATTTATTCTTCAGATTCAGGTTCTTGTAGTGTAGTGTAGCCTTGGTCAAAACATGATAAACATTAAATAATCTTGATTTGACTACTGTAATGCACAACAACCTGTTAAAATTAATCATCTACACCATTATGACAAAATAATTGTATACATTCTTATAAGCTTATTAAAAATAAGATTAATTTCTATAATTTCTATAAGAACTTAGACATTTTAACAGGAACACTTGAAATTTAGCTCAGGTTCCTCCTATTTGTGATGATCTTCTGGGATGTTTCTACATCTTTACTGGAGTCTTCCTGTGCTAAATTAAACAGATTGGACCTGATTTGTAAAGGCACACACCTCCCCATAGAAGGTCCTAGAGCAAAACCCAAAACCACCAGAACTACATGACCTCCACTGATTTGGATTTAAAATGGAGTGGCTAAATAGAAGTGTCTCTTCAGATCAAAACACTTGAAAGTTGTTTGATGGCATCTCAGACTGAACGTCATGATTCTTTTGGTCTGTTGAAGACTGGACTGATTACAGCCTCTGCCTCACTTTAAATCCAGCTCCTGGCCTGAATCCAACTTTACTTCTCAGTCTAGACAATGAATGGAAACAGCACCTCTAGAAACTTCATGCAGCACTGCTGCACTGGCTTATGTACCTTAGCACCCAAGCTCCATTCCACCACACTTGATGTTTAGATGACCTTACTCATCTGTCAGAGTCAAGCTTCTTGTTTTACCTCCTGCTGTTAGAGCTCTGAGGTTCCGCCCCTGATCATGAATGGACCAAGGGGAGCTTGTGTTTCATCGTCACCATCATTGTTTATTTATAAAGCACAATAAAAACCAAAGTGCTGTGCAGGAACATAAAATACAAACAATGAACAAAATATAGTAACAAAATAAACAATAAAATCAAACAAAAACAAAGGCTGGCCTAATGATCCTGCTCTTCAGACTCAAATGCCTGTTTAAACAGATGAGTTTTTAACAGAGACTTAAACTCATTCAGAGACCCAGCAGACCTCACAGACAGTGGGAGYTTGTTCCAGAGCCGAGGTCCTGCAYCTGAAAAGGCTCTGTCTCCCCTGGTCACAAGCCSAGACCTGGGAACAACTAAAAGCTTTTGATTTATAGATCTTAGAAATCTACTTGGAATGTGAGGCTGTAAAAGTTCAGTAAGATAACAAGGTGCCAAACCATTTAGACATTTAAAAACTAAAAACAAAACCTTAAAACAATTCTACAAGAAACAGGCAACCAGTGAAGAGTGTGATGGAAAAATATCTTCTGACTCCCTAACTGCATATTACCTTGACATGTCCTGTTCTGTATCTCTTGATAACTGCCATTATACTGTATATTCTGTTTCTAATGGTTCTTAAGATACTGTATGCACTAATGTAATCTTATTGGCCCATTTACTTGTAACTATGTCATTGGTTCCTGGATAACTCTGATGCTCTTATTTTGTTAGCAGGATGTATGTATTGTTTGTTTCCTGTTTCCGGGTCAGCGTGAGCTTGACAGATGTTCCGATTCACGTCTGTCCGGCTCTGCTCATTCTCTGCATATGCATCTTTCTATTAAATAATCCGAAACCGAGACCACACAGTTTCCACTTTGTTTATCTACCCCATCTCTGCCCTGGCGAAACGGTGCCGRGACAAAGAGAATACAAGATTGGAGTGATATGTTCATGATGTCTTTTCCCCGAAAATAAACGGCAGCTGAATTCTGAACCAGCTGTAGATGACAAAACAAAGATTGATCAAACCCACAATAAAAGGTGTTGCAGTGGTACAGTATAGAAGTGATGAAAGCATGAATAACCCTCTCAAAAGGCATTACAAGGAATATAATCCTTGACTTTACTTATAAAAGTCTCAGATGATAAAAGCTAGACTAGACTACTGCACTGACCTGTTCAGTAAATTTAAAGTCAGTCCAAAATCACCCCAAAATTCCTAACAGACACATAGCCAGATGAAGAGTCCAGTGATCCAACAGCAATGTGCGTCCTGTCAGTTTGTCTGAGTTACCAAATAAAATGACCTCTGTTTTTTGTCTTTAAGATAAAAGTTCAGATCCATCCATGCTCTCACACCTTTAAAGCATTCAAGTAGCCTATTTACAGACTGGGATCTGCTAGATCTTAATGGAAGATAGGCCTGAATATCATCAGCATAAAAATGGTATGACACGCTATATTTTTGAAAAATGGATTCCAGGTACAAAGGTAAGTACAATGAAAATCATGGGCCCTAATATGGAACCTTGAGGAAGCCCATAATAAAGGTGAGCAACAGATGAAAAAAGCTGTCCCAACTGAACCAAGAAGCTTCTGTTAGATGTGTTTGACAACTGCTCATGTTTATGTTCCCATGGGGAAGAGAAACACCCCGCTTGTGCCCGAGTTTGAGAGGGTCTAGGCTGGGGATGGCTCTGGTTTGTTTTGGAGTACAAAGGATTCTAGTGGACTACTTTTCATGTTCCTGTTGGTTTATCCTAAAGGTATTTAGAATCAGAATCAGCTTTGTTGTCATTSAAAKATAACATCAAGGATGCAATGTAGAATGKAATTGKAGTTAAGAACACCCGTTCAAGAGAAAGACACACATAACAAACYTGGGGGAARGGATGAACAGGGTCTTGAGCAACAGGGTCGTACTACCTTTTTGCAGTTTGGAAATACACAGTGTTGCTCTGATCCTGTGTTTACTCATAAACACAGAATCATATGCACAAAAAATGACTTACTACAGAGCAAGGCAGCTGAGAAGGGGAGGGGGTTGGGGGTCAAACACAATACGGGAGGCGGGATTCAGTGGAGCCGGTGATGTTTTAGGTTAATACTCCATGCTGGAACCAATCCAGGCCCGCCAGAGTCCAGAGACCAGATCTTATCTACCCAAGCTCAGTTCATCAGAGTTCAGAGTTTCCCCTTCCTCTGTCACGACYGCCTTCAGACTGGTCCACACGGATGATACGGGGAGGGGGGGATCAAGCCCTTGTTGACGAATCCTCCTGGGAATTTTAGATAACTGCCGACTGACCGAGGCCAGCAGCTGCTGGGATCCAAAAGATAAACAATATTTTTGGGACAAGCAGCCTTGAATTTTCTTGCTGCTTCACAGTCTGTAACTGCATCTCTGAAAATGGCGAAAAAAATATTGAGTGTTCCGAATTTTGTGACCTCCTTGACTCTCTCTGTCTGAAGCTTCACCCAGGTGTAATCCTACTTGTCAGAGGCATACTGCTGGGCTGAGATTCTCGTCAGAATCACATCCAGTTTGCGACTTATCTCCCCCAGCATCTGAGTCTGTGCGCTTCCAGAGCGGGAGATTCCATCCATTTTCTCTGACAGCTTTTCAACGGCTTGGGCTGCTGTCAGGATCGCTTTCATTTTCTGACAACTCAGAACTCTGCCACAGCCAATCAGCAGAAATCCAGTTATCATAAATCCAAATACATACAAATCTTCCACGTCTTCAAAGGAAAGCGGTGACAAACAGATCAGGTTCCAAGCCCCACAGGAACCACTGACCCAACCAGTAGCAACCATTCCACTGGGAAAGCTATGTTCCCCTCGTTCCAATCTCAATGTGGAAAAAATAGTGTCAATTGCATTCAGAGACCAGTTGACCAAATCCATAGTTCTTTTTTGTTTTGGATGACAGGTACTATCATCAACATAGGGACTATATTGAGTAAGGTCAATTACCTGTGGCAAGCAACCACCCTGAATTGGGCAGACTGAAAGTTTATGACAACCAATGATCCCTTTCTGAGAGTTTCACCTTAATCCAGTGGCAGTTTCTGATATGAGCAAAGTGGGCAAAAGCCCAGGGCATCTCGTCAAGGGCGCCACAAGTGCGCACCCACCCACCATCTGCTCGCCTCCTGCCTGATCCTTCTTATTAAAAAAGCATTGTTTCATATCTGTCCTACTTGCAGTAAGTGGGCGCCCTCCACACTGAAGCTTGCAGCTGACCACRGACACACAGAAAAAGGGGAAGGGAGGGGGTTGCGGGGGATTCTCTCATCTCCTGTACAGGGGGTCACGAATTGCACAATACAATGTCCATTTCCTCTGAAAAAGGAAATTAAAGAATCCAGGGATTTTAAATAATAAAAAATAATCAAAATTGTCTAGGTTAAATTGCAAATTAGTTTATAGTACAGAGCACTGGATGAATGTAACAATTTATTTTATTGTAGTTTTTCCTTTTCGCTTTCCATGATAGGGAGAGCTTGCTGTTTATTGGCTGAAGGAGGGGGATTCTAAACTCTGTTGCTTTCATATTTAAATTTTATATTTTTAAATACTTTAATAC